CCGCAGGCAATCGCTAGAGAAGCTACAGACACCGTAGTCTTCAAAGAGACGAGCATTCAGCGTTCGTTGTTCTGTAGAAATAGAGGCATCTGCTTTGGCAGCGGTGCACAACAAACACGTAGAAAGATGCAACCCTAGACGAATAGGCTTTGTACTCGCCGCTAACCGGCCCTAACCTGATCGTTCCGCTTAGTGCTACAATGACTTGCACGTTCGTAAACAGCTACTGCAGCCTCTGATGGGCCTTCATTGTTACGCATGTTCCGTGTATACTGGCTGAACGAGCCATGTGCGCACGACGCGTGCTACATTTTTTGAACAACTTGTCAGCCTAGCGCAGTGGGTTCCTTCGACGTCAGTCGCTTTCTGCCCTCTCCGCCCTTACCAACAGTAGCAGCAGACGCCTACGATAGCCTTCATCAGGTCGCCTGTATCGTCACCGCCGGTGCCGCCGTCGGCGTCGTCATCCCCTCCCCCCTACCTTATCGTATGCTTCCATAAAGCCTAAAGACGCTCTAAAAGGGAACCGGGCCTACCAAAGCGTCGGTAAATGAAAATAAGTCTTGTGTCGTAGTCGACGCGGCCGGTAGCCATCGGACGCTTGAACCTTTACTGCCCAGCTTGCTGTACTATGTGATGCAATACCAAGTTGACCAAACAGACGAGATTACCCTACCTAGAAGTAGGTAAATCTCAATGTCAATAGTAGGACAACAATGCAGGATAGAGTGAAGGAGTGTGCAGAGGAGTGAGCTCCCGTTGTCAAGCCGTCAATCAACATAATTGTATAGCGTCGCATCGTGCGGCTATCACCAATATGGTGGAGCACAGCCGTCAGGTCTAAGATTCCTTCACTTCTATTACATGTCCGCAGTGTGGTAGATACTGAAAATTGGCAAATGACTACGACTGCATTGCTACAGAGTTTTCATGTCGGGCCGATATTCGTCGTTTTCCAGCCAACATCTACGTCTGCAGTTATTCTTTTTTCACGTACACGATATGGATCTCGTCAGCTGCCCAGTTAACTACAGCAGATAATATTCCCATAAAGTAACATCGATATCGCAATCGAGTGACAACAAAATAACAAGTAGGACATACCATATAGAACGATTTTGTTACCGAAGCGTCAGGCGCGGCACTGCTGTCTCGCCTGGCTCACCTGACAAAACGCGACAAACAAACGCCAGCCTAACGTGGTAGGTGAGCAACAGAGTAGAAGAGAGGACGCATATAGTCTCCGTGTGACAGGTGAGGCGGGTTTACCAGCAGAGCGTCTGTAGTAGGCACGAAGGCTGTAGCGGACTCAGCAGTAGCAGCGCATCTTCTGCTCCTCGTTAATCTGTTGTTCCGAAAACGGGGGTACGGCGGTTGTCTTACCCATGGGAATGTCAATGGAAATCCAACTGTTCGGTAGGACGACCAATGCACGTGTACCCATACGCTAGACGCCTATCTATCGCGTAGATAGAGAGGTCTGCACTGATCCACCTGTAGCATCAAAGTCATCGGCCATAACTTTGCATAACCCTATATTCAGACTTTTACGTACTTATGCATACGCGACGTCCAGTACTTCGTACGAGAGGGAAAACCGAGTTAGGAAAAAGTTGAACCAGTAGTATGAATATTGGCATGTAGTACTTACTTGGCAACATACATAAGTTGTAGTATCATTTTCAGTGCATCTATGACAATTGAGACCGATTCATGTTGCTCGGCTGTTCATTAAAATGATCAGGACTTATATGCGCCGTTAAGCAAAAACTGCTTTTTCAGCGAATGAATTATCTACGCTCTATACTACCTGTTAGCACCTAATATTCTAGACTTAGCATCACTTTATTGATAGCGTTGCGGATTATTTGTCCCGCACGTTACAGTTCTCTCGTGATTAACAAGGTTGACGAATCAGTACCAAATGTTGAAGTTGGAAACTGACGATTTCGACTCTGTCTTGTTCTTCCGTCTGAGTGTATCGCTAATTTCAGGTAGGTCCAAGCCTTTAATGAGTTTTGATCAGCAAAAGACTGAATTGATTTTATAAGATGAGTAAGTAGTATAGCATAGTGATGAAAATTTCAGAAAAAGGAGAATGCCTTCCCGAAGAACAGGCAAAGGGATAATAAGATCCTTATATAAGCGTCAGTAATAAAGTCGGCTAAAAACAACATACTAATAGAAAAGCAAAACAGAAACAAGCTATGGGAGATACTCCTCGAATAAACCTCGTCTGGATAGCTATGATTATGTTGTTACGCGAGACAAACATCCTCGGGAAATAGACATCTGAAGAAGAACGATCAGAAGGCTAGGATTGAATAGTCCGATGTCGCCGGTCTAATTCGCGTTTTAAAGGACCAAGTGTCAACGTCATAGAGCAGATTCAGTGTCCAATGCTAAAACGACTTCAACAAAAAAAAAAAGTCAAGAAAGCTTTCGTGGCTGGGTCAATCTGATCGAATAAACCGCATCGTCATTCGGCAGACCAAAGAGCAAAGCGAACCTCCGAAGCTGATCCCCCGAATACCCCCTAAACCATTCCGCAACGTCCTTTAATTGAGAACGCTTCTGTTTCAAACTATTGATAGATATTAGCTTTCTTACTCCTGCGTTCGTCTGTGTGTGTTTGTTTGCTGCTTATATGTATGTAGCGACTGTCACGCATAAACGGTAGTGCAATGTAGTGGCTAGGTTCCAGCTGCAAATCGACATCAGTATGGTTTTTTGTCGCTTATTAATTACCAACGCACGATGAAATTTTCGGTCAGGGTGTTTTTGTAATTGGTGATATATTAGATAATATTAGCACTGTTTTTACATCTCGTACTCAGGTTTAATGGGAACGGTAAATTTCACGAAACGAATAAACTAGCCAGCTGCTCAACGGAAGCCACGCTGGTGTCACTGGTCATGAAATCAATAACAGTAGCAGATTTTGAAAGGAATCATTATTAAGCATAGTCCTGGGTCAAGCTTGGGATGATTGGGTGGAATCCGTGTACCTTTATCGACTTCTCGCTAAGCAAAACCCTTCGATAAATTAATCCTACGCGCGTTTGATCATATCCACTTGTTCACCCCGGTGAGATATTAGCCAAATCTCGTTTAGGAACTAGAAGACTTCGATATACATAAACTAATTTCGAATAACTTCGACCAGGCACTTGTACGAACCCCTGCAAACATCCAGGAACAAAAAGCCCAAAGAGATACTAGCCAGCGTCGCGGAGGCGGCCAATGGAAGCAATGACATAAAGCTGTACCAAGCCTATTCGAAATATCTGCCATTGTTGCCGCCGCCAGTCTCAGTGCCGCGAACTGTGCAGGTGGTCTCTAATAGCTTAGTGGTAGATACACACTCGCGCAAAATTACATCTCCGCAGAATCTGCGGATACAAGAAGTAATACAAGGCTCGACGACGCCGGGGGTCGTGTGGAGAGAAAAAGTCGCCAAACGAAATGGAAAATGGCTTCGGAAGCCTCACCGCAATCGAGCATCCGAACATTTGCGGGGCCGATGCGATGCTGACAAAATTAAGCGAACCCCCGAAGCTGATCTGCCGTCATACCCGCTATATTTAGCAGTGATTAGACCAGCAGATAGATCATAGGGAAGCTGAAAGTCAATGCATTGCGTAGCCGCCAAGGCAAAGCCCATATGGAGGTGCTTTCGGACGGGAAATAAAAATGGTGGTGATGATCAGAGTATGTTATAAAAGCTAGCTGCCTGACCGACCGGCCGACCGATGGCCGTGGCGAAACTTCGTTGGCGTCTGGCTATGTTAGCACCACAGCGACGATTTTCAGAAGGCCGAGGCACGCAAAAATACACGGATTCCACAGATCTAAACAGCAGAGAAGACGAACTTTACGATGTCCTTAGATCAGATCAGCAAACATCCGCACCAAGAAACAGACAGCTTCTTATATGCTATGTTAATAAAGGATAGCTACGATTTAAATCTATTATTTTTTTTTTAAATTTTAAGTGACCTTGTAAGCTGTCACTCAGTGAAGTGATTTTCCTAATAATGACGGTAAAACAATCATTCTCACGACAAACAAACAATTTTCATTTTGTCAGGTTAGCATACATGTTTTGAGGTCGAGTTGAAATTTGGAATTTTGTTGTGTATGTTCAGCAAATGCGAAACCAGACTATATAATAATAGATTTTTCGGACTGGGGTGCTTTATTGTATAAAAAATTAAACACTTAAACCAGTGTAAATAAATATGTAGGAGTACGATTTATAGGTAGGCGTCATCTCTCTGTATCACACGATGTCAAAAAAGCGAAGCGTTCTAGTTGCTTAAAGTATTGATTTGATTTTTACATTACATTTACCATATATCTTCTCGCATTTCCTTCTGCATCAGTCATAATCAATGAATAAACGGAATGAGCTGATCCCCACCGGAAGGCATAATAGGTCAACGCAGCTGGCCTATCGACAAGAGGGAAACAACTCAGTCAGTCTCTCACCGAGGGGAAGATTGAGTCGAAAACGGACACTTTCGAAAGATGCCCCATCTTTGCCCTACAATTGACTGAATAGAAGCATATTCCATAGGAAATGCATTGCGGGTGTTCGTAGTTGCATTTCTAGCGTGTTTTTACTATATAGGTACTATACTGTATGTAAAAAGAATTATAATTTCGCTGTCTGTATCTATAATAAAACTAGCTGCAGTGTGGTCAAAAGGTACTGTAATATCTATCGATAATGGATAGAATCTATCAATTAGTTTATCGTTGCGATTCTGTTTGATGTATAAAGTTAAGCGAGCGTATATATAGTTACACGGTACGAAAGCCACGCGAGCTTAGCCTTAACCTGATTATTCTAAGTAAAGGTAGCCTTAGGATCAACCGGATTAGTACGGGATATAGTGTTTGCCGTGTTGACAGGGAGCTCTCATGGCAATATCACTGATAAATTTCAGTCAGGCTAAAAGGTGTTCAACTTGTAAATAGTCGAGCTTGTATCTTACCGGCAGAGACAATTTCGGTAGGACCAAGGCCATATCATTGCATATCAATTTTCGATTTCTTATTATGAGGTCAATGTTAGAACCTCGTTCAGTATAATTTATCACCGGCAAAACATTCCAGATCTGCATCAGTCGCCAATGTGGCAATAGAGTCTTGGCCTGGGTTGAATGCTACAGTTGACGGTCCTGACTGGCTCCGAATTTTAATTCTCAATAGGTGACAACACGTTTATTACATCTTGATTAAACTCTGACGTGCACATCTTAATAATTCTTCCAGAAATTCTGTGTGCGCAGCTCTCACGAGATCTATTGCATGCTCAGTTAACTATAGTAACTTCATTGTTTGCTTTTATTAACTAGACTATTTTAGTGATAATATTTGATATAAAATTCACCTCTGCAATAGATAGAGTGCAAGCTTGATGTCAGGACTCCTATAGTTCCTATAGTAGCGGCCGGCCACGAACGGTCTTAACAAACTCTCACTAAGTTCAACGTAATCCAATATCCAATCTTGCCGTGATGTAGAAGCTCACAGAGCTCGGAAAAAACGGACACGAATGGCGAGTATTCTTTGGCTTATATGAGAGAGATTGCATCCGTCCCTACGGAGTTGTTCATAGTCAACATAGTACATGTGACTTGTCGCTTGCAGGGACTCGAAGACGGGAACGGATTCGTTTGCACGTCCTAGAAGTGTCCTAATCAGGACGTCGTCAGCGGGTCACAGAAACCACGCAGCTGTACGTAAACCGTTTTGCTGTCGGTATGGACAAGAGCGGTAATACGATAACACCTTCTATCAGTTCCTTACCATTTGCTTCTGTCATCCTTGATCTATATTATTTATCAACTAAATAGGAAATGCGTGATATGCACTGCGTTACCTAACGGAACTGATTGTTGAATGAACAATTCGTCGACAAATGGCCTGAGCGGGTGAACAAAGGGTTTGGATTTTATTATAAAAGCATGTAGGCGTAAATCGAATTTAAAGGGAAGGCAGTCTAGAAACTTCAATGAAATCTAGGAAAACGAATGAAAAGGACTGTTTGCAGTCAGCCACGGAAAGAAAATGTCTGAATGATTGCGCAGCGTTTCCAGAACGACAACTTGAAGATTTTTTAATTAAGGGTCATTTTGTGAATCGTCCTAGATCTGCTGATCGATTTTCTGCATCGATCTTGGATGGCATCATGTGGTAGTTGTGGTGTAAAAAACCCTCTAATGATTCGAATTTTAGTGTGCGTCACTTCTAGACGTATGCGGCGCTCCTAAAACAATCCGGCTGACGAGAACAATTTTCTAGGTGCCAATTGTGTTACGCTTGCGAAAACAACGACTTTTAGAGAAGACACTCAAATGCTTAAAATTAAAGCTTCTAGGCGATTGGCACGGTTGATGTTGCCATAATCCTTTCCTTTTCTCTCCACTCCAATTAGACCGATCAACGACACTATGGCTGGCTTAATTCCTTGGTTAGAATTTTTCTGGCTCAAATCAGGAAGATTACCTTTATACGATAGTCTACCGAAATCTGATTTTTCACAGAAAATTGACAGCATACGATGATCTGAGCGGAGTTCTCACCGTAGTGCAGTGTTGGGTATGCAACATGTTTGCTGATTCCACCTAGAATGGTTGAAGACCGGGTGTACGCCCATTTTGTTCCGTACTGGTAAGAGCCAGCTGTTCAGTGTAATAACCATAATAACCCGAAACATTAATTTCGTTATTAATGCATCCGACATTGCCACTGGGACTTGGCTGGGCAACTGTTCACGATATTGCTTCAGATAAGCCACTAGTCTTTTGTAAACGTCGACCGTTATTAAATACATTACAACAGTAGCTGTTACAGTTAAAATGAGAATAATTACCGTATAATCTATCAGCGAAGTGTCGTACACGATAGATAGATTTCTTGCTAAGAAAACAAAGCTTATCAATTAATACGCCGAAATTGGAACCAGCTTGATCTGTATTTGCATTCTACATTGCGAATCTTTACAATTTCGAATGATGCTGTGACGTTTCTAAATACGCAATCGATTTATTGGCGATTTACCAGTGGCGTTACAGGACAAATTCGAAAATGTCCCTTCACCGCTATTATTATTGCTGACGAATTTGAACTGATCAAGCATCCAAATAAAGGAACTACATTTTAAGTTTTATGTAGCTTTTCGTCTGTACAATGTAAAAATTGTAGTTTATTCTGGCTACCAAAGAAGTCACCAGTATAGATTTGCGCTCCACCTGCACAACGGATCGCTTTGCTGGCTTAGAAATTTGTTAGAGTTCCACTCCGCCATTTCTAAGCAATGCCACGGCCGCGCAACTTTGCAGCATGACGAACGCAGTCAGGTAGTAACCCCCATGGTTGAGTCTTTCAAGATCGATGCCCACAATTTATGTATGCAGAGTGTACGTTTTTAGATTGCTGCGTGCAGACCTGCTCGGTGCACTGATGCTTTGCATCAGCGGTGAGTCGCATCGGCGGACGTAAGTAAGCCGCCACGCGAAAACGTATCCGTTTTACATTAATAAACGCGTTGAGTTGTAGGCTAAAGGAATGATTTAATTATGGCTGTTCCGGCCGCGGCGACCCCCTAACGGGTTAACTCGTTCTGTCCAATCCGCGAGTGACACATAGAAGTATCGATAAGGACAATTCGGACGTCAGCAGAAAATAAGAACAGCAAACACCGCTAGCAGAAGTCGCAGTAGTGGCGCCACTGATAATTTCCACGGCGCTGGCGCTAACAATAAATCGTCCAGATCAGAATGCCCGACTGGTTCGATTCTGTCGTTCGTTGAAATAAGGCTTTTTTTTCGCTCTACTCGCTATTCATTGTCCCTGTTTGGGCATCTCTAGTGCACGCGACCCATAGCGGATGAATGTCGGCTAGCGGTAATACCATTAACACATGAAGCAAAGCTTTTATATATATATATATTCGTCTGATAAAATGGTCTGTCAAACTAAATCGGGTTATTTATTGTTATCGTCGATATTACGTTGTAGCTATTCACGAATTTATGAGAGTGTAAATTATATTATGCAATATGCAACGTACGCGTGTAGGCACGTGTTGTGGGTCTGCCTTTCAATGGAAATCCGCTCAATGTCCGCGTTGTACTCGGACAATAAAAGGCAATAAGCCTTTTAAACCTTTGATCACGTCTAATACGTGTACACATTCAGGTACCTAGGTGTAGGTTGTTTCCGAGTTTAACAAATCGTCAGTACCGCTGTACTCAGATGAAGCCTGTGGAAGGCCCGTCGGAATTTATGGACTCGGCTCGTAGGTTCGAACCGAGCCCTTTCTGGGTTAATGGCTGGAAAATTCTTGATTGCGTTTATGCGCGGTTAACTGTTTGTCTGGGTTTTGGCCTTATGCTTTCTATACCGATGCCTGTTCCATGAAGCATGTCATTGCACGATTCATAAACTTAGCCAAATAATGGTGTTATTTATTGAACGCGCCCTTCATTTTAGTGAATGGCCCTTATACTTTTGTCCCACGAACGTGCACATATCCCAAAGAGTCTAATAGCAATAAACCTCCTATCTGCAAAATAACGTCAATATAAGCGATAGACCTTGTGAGAACATAGATTCACGCAAATTTTTGCCTTTATTTCATACATTTACCACTTTTTTATGTGTTCAAATTATCATGAGTAGCTTCTAGTTCAACTGTACCGTTGCTACCATGGCCAAAGGATCTCTAGCACCGGATGTACGTATATAACTTTATTTATATTATAATATATTTGCATACACGTATTTGTTTTACTGCTGTCATCGCATCTGAAATAACCTCGGGCTGAGAAAGCCAGGAATCGCTGATTTTAATCTCACCAACAACGAGTACCACACGACAGGTCTTGTTAGATAAAAGAAAACCTGTAAGCAGAAGGCGAAAACAAAAAAAATATCAAAGCATCATTACGCTAATCCCATTACACTTAACGCATACATTCTATATATATATATATATATATATATATATATATATATATACAGGAATACGGAGACATTCGCAGACAAAGATAGCCATATACGCCTATCCACTAAGCCACAGGCATAATGGCGCATGTTTTCGAAACAAGGCGCCAGATCAAATTTCGAATTTGCCATTAATCAAAACACGGTCCTACAAACGGATTAGTCTGCAGTTCTAGTCGTCTCGATGCCCTGAACTCCGCGAAAATCACCGCCGGCATGGTGTTAAGATAGATCTACTCCACGCATCGCTTCGCTCTATCAAATCACCTTATTGGCGTATCTTTCACCCAACAGATTATATTTTGTTAATTATTATTTTCAAGAATATCTCTTATTATCCGCCAGTCAGACAGACAGGTGGCTAACAGGTAAAAACGCGAATTAATACACGCAGAAACAACGAAAGCAGGCAAAGAAAGGGTTTTTCCGGTGGTAAACGTAGCTATTGGCATCAACAGCAGTCATGACGATTCCAGCTCCTGCAGTTTCTCTCACCTCCCGCTGCCTACCTCAGTCTTCTTCGCCTTTGGTCTCTGCTGACGCCGGAAAGGCGAAGTAAGACGGAAAGCTGTAAAAAAAATCATTCGATCCCTCGTCGTCTTTGCGTCCCAGTATTTCTATCGATCGCCAAATTCGCAATTTCTTCAACTCCGTCTGAAAGGGTAAAAATTGCATTATATTAATAAAGCTCAACGATTGGACAGAGAATAAAGGTGCGACCCAAGAGCAGCTCGTCGTTCGGCGAAACAACAGCGCAAACACAACTCTGACAATGGTGGAAAGTCACTTGCCACCAACCGGGTTCGTCTTTGACCTACCGCGCGAGTCAACCAGCGAGCGAAACGACGATCAGGATTAATTAAAGAATGAAAAAGATAAGGAGCGCTAAATGCGGAAAGTGCCGAACGACGGCGAGCAAAAAGCACACTTTGTTTTTTTAAAACGCACACGCATTCCAAAGAATAAGCTCATTCATCTGTTTTTTACAGAGGCAAGCTCACACGTACATTGCCATATCTGGACCTTAAGGTCGTTTGAGGATTACAAAGCCAGATGACAATAAGCACTATAATTAAGTAAGTGACATATTATAACTGTTTTGATTTTTTGGTCGTAAACTGGGTTTGCGGTCTGTTTGAAAGTGATTTGGTACACCACAATACGTATGTCAATAGTTACTTATTAATTGTATCACAGGGACATTAGGCCGCGCAAAATGCAGGACAGTTAGCCCATAACGAGTGGTCCTAATAAGAAGGAAATGCAGCTAATA